GCAGGAGAATTGCCTGAACCCAGGAGGCGGAGGTTGTGGCAAGCCGAGATCATGCCATTGCACTCCAGCCTGGGTAATAAGAGTGAAACTCCGTCTCAAAAAAAAAAAAAAAGAATGGCAAAGACTAAAATGCATGACAACACACGCATTTGCATAACACACAGGCTGTGGGGAAACAGACATTTTCCTACATTGCTGGCGAGATTGCAAACTGGTACAGCCCTTCTGGAGGAGAATTTGGCAGTAGCTGAGAGAGCTATAAATGCATTTACCTTTTGGCTTGGCAATCCCTCCCCTTGAAATCTACCTGAAGATAAATTAAAAAAATGAGTCCAGGTGTGGTGGCTCACACCTGTAATCCCAGCACTTTGGGAGGCTGAGGTGGGAGGATTGCTTGAGAGGTCAAGTGTGCAGTGAGCTATGATCATGCCACTGCACTCCAGCCTGGGTGACAAAATGAGACCCTGTCTCACAAGAAAATACATATTTATAAGGTTATTCATTGCAGCATTACTTATAATTGCAAGATATTGGCGAAAACTTAAGTGTCCATAGATAGGAGAGTGGTTGAATAAACTGTGGTATCTCCAACAATGGAGTACCATATAGCAGTAAAAATGGATGAGATCTCTATGAGCTGATATGGGGTGATTTCCATATGTACAGTTAAAGGGAAAAAGGCGAAGTGCCAAAAAGTATCCATGGCATGCTACTGGTCATGTAAGACAGAAGAGGTTATAGGAAAATACACATTTCTGTTCATTTGTGCAAAAGAAATCTAGGAAAGGTAAATCAGAAATTAAAGAGATTGACTACCTACAGGGGGTATGTAGGAATGGGGTGACAAGAAGGAAGACATGGAAGCGATATTTTACTGAGTATACCGTTTTGGTTAGCCCTGACTCCAGGAACAATAGTAATGTTTCACATACTCCCCAGATAAATAAACAAACCAGAACACTAGGGAAACCCAAGCTGGAATACAAACACTAGCAAATAAACCTAACTGTATTCCAAATGAATAACAGACCACGCCAAAGGGACAGAAAAGAAAAGACCTAACTTAAGTAACTGGAATATGGAATTTGAACTGGATTCTGTAAGGCTACAGGCAAAAAGAACTACGTATCAATACTGTACTCTAGTTAGTAAATTTGTTTCTCATTGGGGTATGGGTTAGCAATTCTGCAAGTCGTGTATATTTATACTAGGAATGAACAAATCAGTCAATATATTGTAGCTAATGAGGACAAGATTTATCCCTGTCAAATCAGTTACAAATAAGGAAAGGATAGAATGGACTCTTTGATGTTAGGTCCATTGAAATCAGAGATATCAATATAAACTTGTGGTTTTTATAATAGAGATGTATGTGTGTGAGAGTTAGTATACACATACATGTTTCATAGCTTTGTCTTCTGAGAGGGCCTAGAAGAAATGACCTCAGTAGTAGTCAGTATAGCCAGAGCCCAGATCTTGGTTTCTAAGTACCACTTTCCAATAAAAGAAACCAGTGCTCCTTAGAAAAGTGGATGGTGATTACAGGGTTGGAAAAGGGCTTATAAGATAAGCCTAGAACATCTTTGGTTATTAAAAAAAAAAAAAAAAAAAAAAAAAAAAAACCAAAAAAAAAATGGGGTAATAAAAAAAAAAAAAAAAAAAAAAAAAAAAACTCCAAAAAGAATGGGGGCTTATCAAAGGAACACAGGAGCCAAACTGAAGGAGCTCTCAATGGCCAAACCAAGAGCAATTTGAGCAACAAAATAAATCGTAATATTATTGGGTTATAACCCAAAACACAGAATGAATATACATGAGACCACATGTTTACTTATTGATTTTATATTTATTATTATTTCGAGATGGAGTCTTGCTCTGTTGCCCAGGCTGGAGTGCAGTGGAGCAATCTTGGCTCACTGTAACCTCCTCCTGGGTCCAAGCAGTTCTCTTGCCTCAGCCTCCCAAGTAGCTGGGACTAGAGGCACATGCCACAATGCCTGCTAAGTTTTTGTATTTTTTTAGTAGAGATGGGGTTTCACCGTGTTGCCTAGGCTGGTTGCGAACTCCTGAGCTTAGGCAATCTGCCTACCTTGGCCTCCCAGAGTGCTGGGATTACAGGTGTGAGCAGCTGCACCTGGCCTATTTATTATTATTTTTTAATAGAGATGGGGTTTTACCATGTTGCCTAGGCTGGTCTCGAACTCTTGAGCTCAAGTGATCCTCTCACCTCGACCTCCCAAAGGGCTAGGACTGCAGGTATCAGCCACTGCGCCTGGCCAGAGACCACAGATTTAAATAAATAATTGAAAAATAAATAAATGGGGGAGAAATAACCATATCTTCTTTTCAGAAGAATTTCAATTAATAAATGTAGAAGGAAGCTGGGCGCAATGGTGTACTCCTGTAATCCCAGCAATTTGGGAGGCTGAGATGGGAGGATGGCTTAAGCTTAGGACTTTGAGACCAGCTTGGGCAACACAGCAAAACCCTGTCTCTACAAAAAATACAAACATTAGCTGAGTATGGTGGCACAAGCCTGCAGTCCCAGCTACTTTGAAGTCTGAGGTGGGAGGATCACTTTAAGCCCAGGAGGTTGAGGCTACAGTAAGCTGAGATCTCATTACTGCACTCTAGCCTGGCAAGAGCAAGACCCTGTCTCAGGAAAAAAAAAAAAAAGGGAAAGAGAAAGAAACAGGGAAATAGAAAAGTACCATTAAGCAGTAATAATCATAAAAGAAAGATATACCAATGGATGCTGAAATTAGTAGGTGGAATTTTGAGGAGAAATAGAATATTTTGGTCATCTCAAAAGATCTCCAAGATATTTATTTGACACAATTTCTCAAGTTTATAAAATGTAAATGCAAATTTACAAAAAGCATAAAATAATTAATTACAAAGAGAAACATAGTAACTTTATAGTAGAGAAACTCAACCAAGACACAGTTTAGCTAAGTGATCAAGATTAATACCAGCAGTAAGAAGACTAAGTGACATCACAAAGCCCTTGCTTTATGCACTGAAGAAAGCATAACACTGTTTATGCCGTGTTCTTGCCAAAAACTGTAACTTAAATCACCAGGAAAACCTTAGACAAACCCAAACTGAGGGACATTCTGTAAAATAGGTTTTTAAAAGTGTCAAGGTCATTAAAAACAAGGGAAGATGGAGGAACAGTCACAGATTGGAAAAGACCTGGAAACTATATGTAATGAGTAACCCTGAATTGGATCCTTCAACAGAAAAAGGACATTGATGGAAAAATTGAAATCTGAGTAAGGTCCATGGTTTGGTTAATAGAGTCATACCAATATTAGTGTCTGGTTTTGATCAGTGTAACGCAGTAACATAAGGTGTTAACATTAGAAGCAGCAGATGGGTGAAGGGTATGAGGAAACTCTAAACTGCTTTGCAACTTTTCAGTAAGTCTAAAATTATTTCAAAATAAAATGTTTTCTAAAAATCAAGGTATAGGCTGGGTGTGGTGGCTCACACCTGTAATCCCAGCATTTTGGGAGGCCAAGGTGGATGGATTACTTGAGGCCAGGAGTTCCAGACCAGGCTGGTCAACACGGCAAAACCCCGTCTCTACTAAAAATACAAAAATTAACTAGGTGTGGTGGCACACACCTGTGATCCCAGCTACTCAGGAGGCTGAGGCATGAGAATTGCTTGAACCTGGGAGTGGAGGTTGCAGTGAGCAGAGATCACACCACTGTACTCCAGCCTGGGCGACAGAGCAAGACTCTGTCTTAGAAAAATAAAAAAAAATCAGTGTATGCAGTTTACAGGCAATATGCCAAAAACATTAGCATTCAGAAAGACTTAAAAATATCGGGGGGGGGGGGGAAGTCAGGTAGATCCTGTTGTGATAGTTTGCACCTGTAATCCCAGCTACCCAGGAGGCTGAGGTGGGAGGATTCCTTGAACCCAGGAGTTTGAGTCCATCCTGGGTAACATAGTGAGACCCCATCCAAAAAAAAAAAAAAAGGCCAGTTATATTCTAAGCAAGAGAAAGTAGATGTAGCTGTATTTATATTAGAAAAGAGATAGGCTATCATATTAGATACTGCAGATGTAGAAAATTTTCAAAATTGCATAGTGTTCTGTTAGTGCTGGTCTAGAATAACCGGTGTTCAAGAATAACTGGTGTTCAAGGAGGGGGGGTTGTCAATTTAATAAAGATTTCTTTTATCCTCATCTTATGAGTGAGAAAAGCATAGCTCAGAGAAGTTGTTTCATTATCCCAAGGTCACACAGCCAGGAAGCAGCCTAGCAGAGATTTGAAGCCAGGGTTGTCTGGCTCTGAAGCACTGGCTACTCCCTTTCCCATCCAGCAGCCTCCTGGCTGTTTATGGAAGGATTGTTGCCCAGGATATTAAGGGATCTGTGGTCAATCCTGACCCATCCCAGATTCACTGGCTGTGTGACCCTCAGAAAATCCTTTTGCTTCTCAGCCTTAGCTGCACTGCTAAAAAAATGAAGAAACTGACCCTGCTGTCCTGAGGGTTGGGGATGGCAGGCAAGGGGCCTGGTTGACTGAGTTCATTCCACAGATCCTGTCTGGCTCAGGGGCGGGCAAGCATGGGGGGTGAGGGGTCCTTTGGTTGGGTTGACCAGCTTTAGTTGATAGCTCCTGTTTCTTGAATGCCCGTAGATGAGAAAGCCGAGGCTCAGAGAGGTAAAGTAACTTGGCCAAGGCTACACAGCAGAGGAGGCAGAACTGGGATTCGAACCCGAGACTCTGTGGTATCATGTCCCTGTTGCAAGACAGAACCGGCATCTGCAGGAATCACAAAGAGATGGTAGCCGGGTAGTGAGCTCCCCGTCTCTGGGGGGTGTGCAAGCTGGCACTGGGCTGTCAGCAGGGCAGGGTCTGGGACCAGGGCCAAGACCACCGAGCCAGGCCCAGGCCCGCCCGCCTCCCGCGGTAGCCAAGTCCAAGGCGTGAGCACGGGGCGGGGCGGGGCAGGAGCTGCTATTTCTGTCTGGTGAGCGCAGTTCGTGCAGCTGGCGAGGGAGGGGGCGCCCGCGCCGCCATATTCCCTCCCGCCGGCCGGCACCGCGGCGCGCAGCCACCATGAGCACCGCCGCCTTCCACATCTCCAGCCTCCTGGAGAAGATGACGTCCAGCGACAAGGACTTCAGGTGCGCCCCGCCGCTGGCCCCCGCCTCTCCTTCCGGCTCTGAAGCCAGGGGTCTTCTTCCCCTCCCGGAGCGCCAGCCCATCCCCCATGACCATGCAGCCCCTGCCCTTCTCCCTGCATTAAGCTGCGCCAGGGACAGAGCTGCCCCTGCCTGGTGGTCCCCACTGAAGCTCAGGCCGTTCTCCCCGGTGGCCGTCCTGCCCCTCCTTGACTCCAGTCCCTGCTTCGTCTCCCACCGTACAGGCTTCAGCCCTGCCTGCCATCCCCCATCAGAGCCCCAGCTCCGCCCCTCTGCACCCTGCCTTGGCGTCTCCCTCGTGGATGTCTGGCCCCCTCTTCCCCCACATCTGATGCCCCAGACCCCCCTCTTCGGGGAGCCCACAGTGGAGCCCTCCACCTCTCCCTGAGGACCCCAGTGCCTGCCTCTCCTACCCCACATTGAACCCAGGCCCTTCCAGGACGGCAACCACCTGCCAACGTTTTCACTAGCACCCTCAGTGATGCCCACTTCGCAGCATCACCCGTACTCCTCCCTCCCACTCTTCCTCCCCTCTTGGGATTGTTCAGACCCAGCCTAAAGGAGGGGGCTGGGCTGAGTCTGGCTTTCCAGGCATAGGTTAGGTGATGGTTGAGCTGCGGACCTCTAGGTTTTGTGTGCCACTCCCCTTCCCCACTCCCTTTTCCCTCTTCCCCCCATCACAGCATCACAGTACCACAGGAATAGAGCTGAAAAGAACAGTGGAAACATCTGGTCCAATGAGTTTCCACCTGCATTCTCAGGGGAAACTGAGGCCCAGGGAGGAAACGGGATTGGCCTGCGGTCTCATGGCCAGTTCTGGCCCTTCCAGCTGAAAGAAGACCTTGGAGACTCACTTGTTGAACATTTGTTCACTCAGGGAAACCGAGTCTCAGAGGCATGAAGGGCATAGGTTCAGTCACAAAGCCCGGAAGTGGGGGACAGTCCAAATCCAGGCCAGTTTAATATGGAGGCCCTCTGATTCCAGCCCCCTGGCAGGTGAGGAGACTGAGACCTGCACTGGTAGTCTGACTCCTACTCTCTCCTGCAGTCCATTCCTCAGAACCCCTCAGGAGCCCCCCACATTAGTGGAGCCTGGGATCCAAGGTCTTGGCTTCAGATCCCAGCTGCCATTGCTCACTGGCTGTGTGACCATGGACAAGTTACTTAACTCCCATGAGTCTCCCTCTGCTTCTGCATCTATAACATGGGGATAACAGAACCTACCTCTGAGGACTGGGGTAAGGATGAAATAAGATAGTACATGTGAAATGCTCAGATTTGTGGCAGGCACCAGGTTGGTGTTTAATACATGGACACATGATTCGGTGCACATCCGAAACATGCCACGCCCTGTCCCTTCTCCAGACCTTCACTAGGGGGATTCTTTGCTCTCCCTTGACCTACTCCCTTCATCTGACGGCTCCTATAACTCTGGGGTGCCTGTTGACCCCAGGCAGGGTTAGGCACCTCCCCTCAGCTCCCATTATGCCTCCCCTCCACGTTTCTGCTAGATCACTTTTCAGCCCTGGGAGACCCTGAGCTCCTGGGCCACCGGAACTATGTACTTCTTAATGCCCCAGCACCTGTGCTGGTACACAGTAGGTGCTTAGTCAATGTTCGCTGGGTCCCAGGCTCCCTACTGTGCACTCCACATGTAATCTCAGTCCACCCATGGGTGGTAGTGATTGTTCTTCCTGTTTTCTGGAGGCTTGGAGGAGTGCAGTGACTTGCCCAAGGTCACATAGCTAGGTAATGGCCTAGGGGATTTGTGCTACTGTCTCTCAGGCCTTGGGTCTAGTCTCTGGGAGAGGGAGTCGGCCCTGCCAGCTAGAGCCCAAGAAGCCCTTTTAGCCCGTCTCTGCCAGCGGCCTGGAGAACACTTAAAACCATCCCCAAGCATGTGAGAATGGTGTCTATTTTTAAAGTTCAAATACCAGGGTGCTCGGTCCTGCAGACCAGCTGTCCAGGCGCCCATGTGGCCAAGGGTTTCAGCTGAGTTGCCTCTAGGGTTTCTCTGGAATGAAACTGAGACTGTGTCCTCTGGTTCCTGAAAGGGGGGCAGTGACTGCAAATGGGGTTCCCAGGTGGGGTGGAGGAGACCTTTGGTTCCTGTTCTTCCTGGGCACTGGCTCTATGGGCAAGAGGCGCTCCGTTACCACTGAGGCTCCAACAGTCAAAAGGAGTACACTTGTGGGTCTTGCAGGAATTCTCACGTCATTTCTTAAGAACACAGTAGTATTCTCAAGAAATGACCTGGGAATAGTTTGCTGTTACCTTAGGCAGTTTGTACAGCCTCTCTGAGCCTAGTTTTCTCACTACCTCATGCTAAGAGCTGGTTGTCCTGTTAAAACCTCGCAAGGATACTATGAGGTAGGGGCAAAGCAAAGTTCCCATTTTATGTATAGAAAATCTGAGGCCCAGAGAGAAGGAGGTAGCTGCCCAATGTCACCTAGTTGATAAATGGCAACACCGATATACTCAAAGCCAAACTGGTACTCAAGCTGTTATCCACCAAATTATTTACTTTTCCTTCTCCCTCCCATCCCTGCACACATACATGTATAAAACCTGGCTTGCTTTCTCTGAGAGCTGGTATCCGCGACACCAGGGGTGTGTGAAACGCTGAGGCGTACTTCAGAGGAGCTGGTTTCTGAGTTTGGGCAGTTTGGCGGTAAGCTCTCTTAAGGGCTGGCTCTCTCCCTATCTCTCCTCCTGCCCTCACCCTCCCTGACAAGGCCCTCCGCAGACCTGTTTTTTGTTGAGCCTGGGGTCCCAGAGATAAACCTGTTGGGCCTCTGCCCTCAGTGAGTGTACAGTCCAATGGAGAAGATGCTCTGGTGGCCAGACTTGCACTGTAATGGATGGGTGCAGAGTGCTCTGAAAGGATCCTGTCCAGGGACCATTGTATTTAGGGTCTGTGGATGTCAGGGTAGGGCAGGGCGGTCCGTCATCCCTGAGCTGGGACATTTGAGCTGGGCTCTTGATGGGTGAATAGGAGCTCAACAGGTGGAGAAGAAGAGTGGGGTAGGAGGTCTATCTTGGTCAAAGAGGCACATCGCCTGGGTTGCCAGGCTGAGCTGGGCCCCTGTGGACTGCAGCAGAAATACAACCTGGAGACCCTGCATGCCATCTCAGAATGTCCCCTCAGCTGAGCAGACGTAGGGGTGCATGAGCCTTGGCCTGGCTCAAATCCAAACCTCTTCCTTTACTTCTGCCCAGAGGTGGGCACAGTCAGTCCTGTCATCCTGCCTCTGCTGCCAGCCCAGCCTCCTCCCTCTCCTAGCAGCTTGTGGCTAATCTACCTGTTAAAAATAAATAGGACATCGACCAGTCCACCCCTGGTAACAGGGCACTGTGGGCTGTGGTGACAGCCAGCAGTAGGTCTGAGTCTGCACAGATGAGGGCCAGAATCCCAGCTGTGACAGGTTTTGCCACAGGAGGCTGGGGGCAGGGCTCTTGGTTGATTTGCTGAACCATGCTGGAAAGCAGGGCCGGTATGAGGAGGGGAGTGGTCCAGCAGGCTCAGCAAAAGCTGGAGGCTTTCTCAGAGGCAGCCTCGCGGCATCTTTCCTCGCTGCTCTGTCCTGTTTTCTCCTGAATCTCTGCTCTCAAGTGCCTGCAGGAGCCAGTCAGCGGGTAAAGTAGGCCTAGTGGGGACCAGGTGAACTGGGGAGAGGGTAGCCGCTACCTGACTCTAGCCAGGTATTGTCACCAGGAATTATAGGTCCTGTTGTATTCAAATATTCTGTTTTCAAGATAATCTGGAAGTCAGTTTTTTCTTTGGGTCTCACTCTGTCACCTAGCCTGGAGTGCAGTGGTGCGATCTTGGCTCGCTGCAACCTCTGCTTCCTGGGTTCAAGCGATTCTCCTGCCTCAGCCTCCTGAAAAGCTGGGACAACGGTGTGTGCCACCACACCTGGCTAATTTTCATATTTTTAGTAGAGATGGGGTTTCACCATGTTGGCCGGGCCGGTGTCGAATTCCTGACCTTAAGTGATCCACCCACCTTGGCCTCCCAAAGTGCTGGGATTACAGGCGTGAGCCACTGCACCTGGTCTAGAAGTCAGTATTTTTTTTTTGAGATGGAGTCTTGCTCTGTCACCCAGGCTGGATTGCAGTGGCATAATCTTGGCTCACTGCAACCTCCATCCCTGGGTTCAAGCAATTCTCTTACCTCGGCCTTGCGAGTAGCTAGGATTACCGGTGCCCACCACCATGCCTGGCTAATTTTTGTATTTTTAGTAGAGACAGGGTTTCGCCATGTTGGCCAGGCTGGTCTCGAACTTTTTTTTTTTTAGACGGACTTTTGCTCTTGTTGCCCAGGCTGGAGTGCAATGGCATGATCTCAGCTCACCACAAACTCCACCTACTGGGTTCAAGCAATTCTCCTACCTCATCTTCCTGCATAGCTGGGATTACAGGCATGTTCCACCATGCCTAGCTAATTTTATTTTTTTTTAGTAGAGACAAGGTTTCTCCATGTTGGTCAGGCTGGTCTCAAACTCCCAGCCTCATGTGGTCCACCTGCCTCCGCCTCCCAAAGTGCTGGGATTACAGTCATGAGCCACTGCACCCGGCCCAGTCTCAAACTTTTGACCTCAGGTGATCCACCCGACTTGGCCTTGTAAAGTGTTGGGATAACAGGCATAAGCCACCATGCCGGGCCAAAGTCAACTCTCCCAATGTTCAAATGTTGACAAGTACTTTAAATTTTTAAAAACACGTTTGCAAGCTGGACATAGCTGAGAGCTACTAGTTTCAGACCTTTGCTCTACCCTCTTAATTTTGGCAGGAATGGTGCCCCGTAATGGCCCCAGCCTCAACTTTCCATGGCTTCCAGCTCAGTCTCCCACTGCAATTTGAAATGCCTGGGAGAGTATCAGGCTTTTGGTGTCAGGACCCATGGATCCCCCACCTCTGGGTGGGTAGCCCTTGCCTCTGTTGCCCACTCCAGGTCAGGGAGCCAGTCCACTATTGGCACTGGTCTCCAAAATATGCCCATGCACATCCTCATGGCGTAGGGCAGTGGTTTTCAAAGTGTGGTCCCTGACCCTCATTGTCATCCAGGAATTTGTTAGAAATGCGGATTCTTGGGCCCCAACCCAGACCTGCTGATTCAGAAACTCTGGGAATGGGGCCTAGTATTGTTTAACAAGTCCTGCTGGTGATTCAGATACTGGTTATAGCTGGAGATCCACTGTTCTAGGGCAGGAAACAAGTGGGTTCTCTGAGATGGGAGTGGACAGGGCCCGCCTTCCTCCATCTGTCTGGTAGACAGGCTTCTAGCTGATCCTGACTCGGACGCACAGTGTCTGTTCAACCTTCTAGCATCCTTTTCTCAGCTCTTGTGAGATGTGGATGATGTCATGTGCTATTATAATAATGGCAGTGCTGTTTACTGAGTGCGTACCATGTGCACTTAACCCCATAAGGCAGATACTAGTCTCATCCCTGGCTTCTGACAGGTAAACTAAGGCTTGGAGAGGTGAAATGACTTGCCCAGGTTCAAACTGCATAAATGGCAGAGGTGGGAGCCACTGACCCTGAAGCATTACGCATTAGCCAGCATGGTGGGCTGTTCCTAGTCTGCCACCCTGTGGCAGTTGGTGTCACATATATGTGGGTCTCCTTGTAACCCAACCAAGCCCACTGCCCAAATAATCCATGGTCATGTGGCACTTAATGACAGGGAGACATTCTGAGAAGTGCATCCTTAGGTGATTTCATCCTTGTGTGAACCTCATAGAGTGTGCTTACACAACCTAGATGGTAGGGCCTCCTACACGCCCAGGCTATATGGTGTGGCCTGTTGCTCCTAGGCTACAAACCTGTACTGAGTACTGTAGGCAGTTGTAGCAGAGTGATATTTGTGTGTCTAAACATAAAAAAGGTACAGTAAAAATAGGTGGAAAAGGGGTGTGGTGACTCATGCCTGGAACCCCAGCACTTTGGGATGCCAAGGCGGGCAGATCACGAGGTCACGAGATCGAGACCATCCGGGCTAACACGGTAAAACTCCGTCTCTACTAAAAATACAAAAAATTAGCCAGGCGTGGTGGCATGTGCCTGTAGTCCCAGCTACTCGGGAGGCTGAGGCAGGAGAATTGCTTGAAACTGGAAGGCGGAGGTTGCAGTGAGAGATGGCATCACTGCACTCCAGCCTGGGTAACAGAGTGAGACTCTGTTTCCAAATAAATAAATAAATAAAATAAGAACAGACTAAAATGGCATGCCTGTATAGGGCAGCTCCATTATAATCTTATGGGATAACCATTGTATATGTTGCCTGACATTTACCAAAACATCATTATGTGGCACACGACTGCATTTGACCTTGAATCTTTGTATTAAGGTCTACTTCTAGGGGAACCCCGAGGTACTGCCCAAATCTACCAGGGCCCAGGAGCTGCTCAGCAATCCTCCTCTGCCCTCCCTGCCTAGGTTCATGGCCACCAGCGACCTGATGTCAGAGTTGCAGAAGGACTCCATTCAGCTGGACGAGGACAGTGAGCGCAAGGTGGTGAAGATGCTGCTCCGGCTCCTAGAGGACAAGAACGGTGAGGTGCAGAACCTGGCTGTCAAGTGGTGAGTGTCAGCCTCTGTGGAGCAGGAGAAGGGGCCCTGCCTGGTGTGGGAGCATCCTGGGGATCCCTGCCCCTTTGGGGTACAGCCTTGCAGAGGAGACCTGCTTACCAGCTCTTGTTGGATGGTCTGGGTTCCCCCAGAAGGAGATGCTGAGACAAGGATTCATATCTTAAGTTTGTTTGGGAAGTGATCCCAGGAAACATGGTGGAGGAGTGGGGAAGTGAGGCAGGAAAAGGAAGAGGACCAATCAAGGATATGGTATGATGCAAGTGACCACAGTGGGCCTGATGAGCTTAACTCCATGGGGACCTCTGGGACACAGTACAGGATATGCCCCTTGGACTTTTCCCACCCAATGGGTGAGGGAGCTGGGGTATTAATCTACCAGCTCCCTGGTAGTCATTGGTTCAGGGCTGCTTTTAGGGGTAGGACAGAGGGTTGTTCACTTCCTGCCACCACCAGCCAGAGAAATCCCTCAGACATATGTAAATACTAGGAAGGTCAGTCTCACACACACCAAAGTGGTAAAGGCTCAAAGGCCAGGCACACTGGCTCACACCTATAATCCCAGCACGTTGGGAGGCCAAGGCGGGTGGATAACCTGAGGCCAGGAGTTTGAGACCAGCCTGACCAACATGGTGAAACTCTGTCTCTACTATATACACACACAAAAATTAGCTGGGTGTGGTGGTGCATGCCTGTAATCCCAGCTACTTGGGAGGCTGAGAGGCAGGAGAATCGCTTGAACCTGGGAGGCAGAGATTGCAGTGAGCCAAGATTGTACCATTGCATTCCAGCCTGGGCAACAAGAGTGAAAACTCCATCTAAAAAAAAAAAAAAAGGCTTAGGGTACATGGGATTGGGGGAGGTCCTAAAAGCCCCAGTCTTAGGGCACTGTCAAGCTGTGATCCTGAGACCTTCTTGACCAGTTACCTCCAGAGTAGAAAAAATAAGACAAGGGTGTGTGCAGAGTGCGTGGAGATGCTGGTGTGGTGGGGTCATTCTCACACTCATATCTGAGAACCACTCATGTAGGGCAGAGGTTGTCAACCTTGACTACAGGTTAGCATCACCTGGGTAATTTTAAATAGAATTCCAGGGATCAAGAGTGAGAGAACTGTGCACTGCCTCTCTGTGAGCTGGGTCCCGGCATTCTTCTGGGGCATGTTAATGAATTGCGATGTGATCCCAAGAGCAGAGGAAATTCAGAAAAGCGTTTTATGTGGGAAGGTAACATGGTCAAGTTTATGTCTTTCTGGCCGTGGAGTAGACTTAGGATGGAGTTGTGGTTTCTCACCAGCAGAATTAATACCATTTTCTTTTTGAGACACAGTCTCATACTGTCGCCCAGGCTGTAGTGCAGTGGCGTGATCTTGGCTCACTGTGATCTTCGCCTCCTGGGTTCAAGCAGTTCTCCTGCCTCACCCTCCCAAGTAGCTGGGACTACAGGCATGTGCCACCACGCCCAGCTATTTTTTTGTATATTTTAGAGATGGCATTTCACTATGTTGGCCAGGATAGTCTCGATCTCCTGACCTCAAAATCTGCCCGCCTCAGCCTCCCAAAGTGCTGGGATTACAGGCGTGAGCCACCGCGCCTGGCCCCCCAATACCTTTTTATAACAAATAGTTTGTAATACCATTTTCCTATTAGGAAATGAAATTCATACATTATAAAACCTACCTCTACACATAATGCCCAAACCTTAAACATAAAGGAAAGTTAGAAGGAATGTAGCTTATAGTAAAGTCGTGTGTGTTTCCGTGTATACATGCTCGGGCACTGTGATGGTAGAAATGATGAAGTCACAAGAAGCCTGTACCTACATGTGAACGCATCGTGAGTACAGATACAAACAGGTGGTTTTAGGGACTCAGGTATCAGAAGTGGAGGCGTTGCTGTTAGTGGCAAGATTTTCTTTTTCTTTTTCTTTTCTTTTTTTTTTTGAGACAGAGTCTCATTCTGTCACCCAGGCTGGAGTACTGTGGTTCAATCTCGGCTCACTGTGATCTCCCTCTCCCTGGTTCAAGTGATTCTCATGTCTCAACCTCCTGAGAAGCTGGGGCTACAGGCATACACCACCACAGCCGGCTAATTTTTGTATTTTTAGTAGAGATGGGGTTTCACCATGTTGGCCAGGCTGGTCTCGAATTCCTGACCTCAAGTGATCTTCCCACCTTGGCCTCCCAAAGTGCTGGGATTACAGGTGTGAGCCACCTCACCCTGCCAGGATTTTCTAAAGTGAGTGACCGTCTCCCAATACAGTTTCTCGGGAAACAAAATATAATTTTCCTTCAATTTATCTGGTAATTGTATTCTTGGAAAATCCAGAATGTGGCATATTAAAACAATGCAGAAATTATTTTGTGTCTATGTCTAAAATAGAATTTCAGACTCAGATAATTATAGAAAGGCCTTTTGCCTATACAAATGCTCATTGGGATGTTAGAAACTCTTGTAGGGCATGGACAGTGCTTTGTTCTGCATTATTTTTCTGCTGTTCTTGACCTTGCTGCCAAAGGCTAGAGTACTAACTCAATAGTTATGATGACTGGCCAGGTGCAGTGGTGCACACCTGTAATCCCAGCACTTTAGGAGGCTGAGGTAGGCAGATCACAAGGTCAAGAGATCAAGACCATCCTGGCCAACATGGTGAAACCCCGTCTCTACTAAAAACACAAAAATTAGCTGGGTGTGGTGGTGCGCACCCGTAGTCCCAGCCACTCAGGATGCTGAGGCAGGAGAATTGCTTGAACCTGGGAGGCACAGGTTGCAGTGAGCCAAGATTGCACCACTGCACTCTAGCCTGGCCACAGAGCAAGACTCTGTCTCAAAAAAGGTTATGATGACCAAGGACCCCCATAAATTGCCAAGGTGGTATTACTCCTACTGGGAACTCGTGCTATAGGAGGTAGGATGGAGGAGCTGCGGAGAAGGAAGTTGAGAGAGCCAAGGTTTGAAAACCATGGTGTGCATGCCTGTAGTCCTAGCTATTCTGGAGGCTGAGGCAAGGGGAACCCTTCAAGCCAGCAGTTTGAGACCAGGCTAGGCAACATAGCAAGACACTAAAAGAGAGAAATTACCCAAGCATGGTGGCTTGAATATGTAATCCCATTTTTGTAGGAGGATCGCTTGAGCCCAGGAGTTGGAGGCTGCAGTGGGCTATGATCATGCCACTGTATTCCAGCCTGGGCAACAGAGCGAGATCTCATCTCAAAAAAACAAAACAAAAAAAAAATCAAGAAAAAAGAAAACCATTGTGCACTGCAGTCACCTAAAGCCCTTGTTGAAACTATGTATTCCCTGCCCAGGGATTCAAATCCAGGTGATGGAGCAGGGAGGGGGCTGGGGCAGAGGATGAGAATATGGCACCCTGGAATCTGCATTCTGATGCACACCAGCATCTGAGAACCACTTGCGTAGGGCAGAGGTTGTTAGCCTTGACTGCATGTTAGAATCACCTGGGGATACTCCAGCTTGCTTTTATTTTATTTTATTATTTTATTTTTTTTTTGAGACGGAGTTTTGCTCATGTTACCCAGGCTGGAGTGCAATGGCATGATCTCGGCTCACCACAACCTCCGCCTCCTAGGTTCAGGCAATTCTCCTGCCTCAGCCTCCTGAGTAGCTGGGATTACAGGCACGCGCCACCATGCCCAGCTAATTTTTTGTATTTTTAGTAGAGACGGGGTTTCACCATGTTGACCAGGATGGTCTCGATCTCTTGACCTCGTGATCCACCCGCCTCGGCCTCCCAAAGTGCTGGGATTACAGGCTTGAGCCACTGCTCCCGGCCTCAGCTTGCTTTTAAAAAAAAATTTAAAAGAGAATCACCTGGGGAATTTTTAAATTCCCCCCCCCCCACCCCACTCCCACCCTACCCACCTCCAGGCCACACCTGAAAACAATTAACTCAGACTCTCTGAGGGCAGTGCCCAGGTAGGGGTTTTCAGAGGCCCAGGTGATGGCAGCTAAGGCTGAGAACCGGGTAGTTTAGTGCAGCTGTTTTAAAACTTCCCTGTGCATTGGAATCACCTGGGGACCTCGTGGAGCTGCAGATCCTGACTCAGTAGATGTAGGGTAGGGTAGGGCTTGAGATGCCACATACTGAACAAGCTCCCAAGTGGCGTTGCTGATGCTAGCCCACCACCAAACTTTGAGAAGCAAGGCTCTAAGGTGGAGGCTCTACAAGTGTGCTCCTTGGACCACCAGGTATCAGCCTCAACTGGGAGCTTGCTAGAAATGCACACCCTCAGGCCCCACCTAGATAGCCCTCCTGACTCACAAACTCTGGGTGTGGGGCCCAGCAGTCTGTTTTAACAAGCCCTCCCTGGGATTCAGATGCACGCTCAAGTTTGACAACCCTTGTTCTGGGGCACTATTTGGCTATTTCCTGAGATGTAAAACACAAAAAGAAATGTATGTTTGGGAGGTGCCAGGAACAATGTTGGCACAGCCAGACAGTGACTCTTTCTGGCCAAACAGGCTCGCCTGTTGATCTGAGGCCTTTGCCTCAGCATGTGTGGCCCCAGGAGCATGACATAAGGGGCAGCCTGACTCAGGCTGAACCTTGGGCCCTTGGACTCACCTCGCCATTCTCTGCTCAGCCTGGGTCCTCTGGTGAGCAAAGTGAAGGAGTACCAGGTGGAGACCATCGTGGACACCCTGTGTGCCAACATGCGGTCGGACAAGGAGCAGCTACGAGACATCGCTGGCATTGGCCTCAAGACTGTCCTCTCGGAGCTCCCCCCTGCAGCCACAGGTACCCAGGTCCCCAGGGCTAGGTACTGTTAGTATTTGTCCTAGTTTATGGTAAAAAAAAACAAACAGAAAAACACTGAGGCTCAGAGAGTTGAAGAGACTTACCCGAGGTCATTCAGCTAGTAAGCCAGGCAGAGAATTCAGACCCATCTCAGCTTAAGTTCATGGCTCTGTGTCAGTTAGGAATGCTTTTAGCTCAAGTGATGAAATCTAACCATTGGCAGTTTAAAGAAATCAGGGGTGGTTTTTCTCACATGGCAATCCTGGAGGAATCAGCCGCTCCATTTTTGTAGCAATGGATTTAGTGGCTCAATACTGACAGGGTTCAGGTCTCGCCCCATGTCCCCTCCCTTTATAGGGAAAGCACACGTGTTCCCAGAAGCCCGCAGAAGACTTCTACTTATATCTCACCGGCAAGAGCTGGACCACCCAGCCACTCCCAGCAGCAAGGGAGTCAGGAAAGGAAGTGTTTATTAGCCTCCCTAGTGGAAGAGGGAAAGGAAGAAGGGCTTGGGTGTGTGTGAGCCACTTAGCAACTTGGCCATTGGCTCTGCAGCTTCTGTCTCCTTTACTTTGGCCAGACTGTGGGTCAAACCTGGGACCTCTGGAGACCTGGCTCCTGTGGATCAGCAAGATTCCCAGGGATGTGGGCTCAGGAACACAGCCAGAGCAGAGGCCAGACCAGTGGTGGAGGCTGCCATTTCCCCAGGCCAGGCCTCACTGTGCCCACCTTGTGCCCTGTGCAGGCTCCGGGCTGGCCACCAACGTGTGCCGGAAGATCACGGGCCAGCTCACCAGTGCCATTGCCCAGCAGGAGGATGTGGCTGTGCAGCTGGAAGCTCTGGACATCCTCTCTGACATGCTGAGCAGGTGTGGGAGGCCACTCTGGGGATTGAGGAAAAGTGGGTAAAAGGATACAGGGAGTTGCTCATATCCACGGAGCTAGCATTTACTGCACACCTGTGCACGGGGCTCCTTAGTCATCCCAGCAGCCTCACAAAGGAGAACTCAGTTGTCACAATTTTACAGGCTCTGAGGGGTGATGTGGCCTGCCCAAGGTCACAGGGTCAGTAAAACCTCTCAATACTTGAACAGCTGCTCTATAGAAAAATATCAGGTGCTGGCCTAGTGTTGGGAATATGGAGTTAGGTCAGTCTTGATTGTTCCTAGGGAGGAGTTCACAGATACATATAAAGCTGCGACTGTAGCAAGCACAACAAAGGATAGGAGGAGGGTTGATGGGAGCCCAGAGGAGCTCCCAGCCCAGTTGGGAGTGAGGAGCCTTCCAAAAGAGGGTGCTGCTAGGGCCACGCCTTCCAGGAGGGGCAGGACTTAGCTGAGTTTGGGCAGGTATAAGCAGGATGCTGGAGGGGAGACTGCCCCCAGTCCAGAAGGCAGAGACACAGGAAGACGTGGGGTCCCAGAGTCTGCCAGGGGGTTGTGGGGTGGGCTGTAATGTGGAGAGGTGGATATGGAGAGGTGAGGTGGAGACCTGGCCAGGAGCCATGGGGTGGGGGTGAGCATTTGTGTGTTCTTCTCTGATCTTTCTGCAGTGGAGAGTAGATGGGAGGGGATTGAACAGGCAGGGGACTGGTTAAGAAGCTGCTATAGGGAAAGCAATTTTGGGTTGTATTCATGAGGTAGATTCCACAGGACTTGGAGTGGGCAAGAGAGGCAGGGACTGGAGGCTGACCCCTAGGGTTCTGGCTTTAGTAACTGGGGGAACAGAGGTGCTGTGGTGGGGTGTACCGCAGGAGCCAGGAGCAGGTGTGGGGGAGGAAGGTGATGGATTCAGGCTGGGGCCTGTTGAACTTGAGGCTCCTGGGAGGCACCCACTCAATCACACACTCTGAGGGCAGGTCCTGGGGTCAGTCTGTCTTGTTCACCCTGGCTGCCAGCACAGTCCCTGTCACCTACCTGGTGAACAAACAAACCCAGGAGAAGGGGGCTGGGTTGGACACAGAAATAAGGGAAGGTGAGGTCAATGAGTTTGTATAAAGTGAGAAGAGAAAAGGTCTCAGGATGTTTATGGGACACAAAATGCACGGGTCTGGTTTGAAGGTGTGGTTAGAAGCTGCTGAGGCAGGCAGGGGCTGTGCTGTGTGTGCAGAAACCATTCTCTGGTGTTGCCTCTTGTCTTGAGCCCAGAGCTCCTGATCTGCAAAGGCACTAGGGAGTCATGGACAGAGTTAAGCAGAGGAGTGACCAGGTGAGGTAGATTTTATGCTGCTCTGGTCTCAGCGAGGAGGATGAGCAGAGGGGTGATGGTATTGAGGCAAGTCCTAGACTTCCAAGAAATAGGAACAGCCTTACTTAGATCCCCCACACTTCCCCCATCAGGTCCTTCTTCCTAGGCTGGGAGCCAGGCTTTGCACTCCTGGCGAAGTGGCCATGAGAAGTCCCTTTCTCTCTCCACTTTCTCTCATGTAACAATAAAAAGTCATTAAAATAATTCTTCCTCACAGTTGCAGGGCACCTCTGTTTTGCAAGGGCCATTGAGTTGCCATAATCCTGGGAAGGAGGACGGGAGAGAATGGGGAGAGGGGCGGAGCCTGGCCCAGGCTGCCCATGGGGTGTGACCGGCCTGATGCCCCCTCGTGCTCCCCAGGCTGGGTGCCCCTCTGGGCGCCTTCCACGCCAGCCTCCTGCACTGCCTGCTGCCACAGCTGAGCAGCCCGCGCCTGGCGGTGCGCAAGCGGGCGGTCGGGGCGCTTGGCCACCTGGCGGCCGCCTGCAGCACTGACCTCTTCGTCGAGCTCGCTGACCACCTACTGGAACAGCTGCCCGGCCCGCGGGCGCCCACCAGCCCAGCTACCATTCGCACCGTGATTCAATGTTTGGGCAGCGTCGGCCGCCAGGCCGGCCACCGCCTCGGTAAGGGAGCAGGGCGGGCCCGGGCTGGCATGGTGGGCGGAGCTTAGGGGCGGGCCAATGGCTCACTGACAGAGTGGGGCTTGGGCCGCCGTGTGGGCAGGGCCTAAGGGTGGGCAGCTTCCTTGGTAGGGGGGATGGGGCGGGGCCTGGGCTGACATGGTGGGTGGGGCCTGGGGCGGGCCACTTCCTCCGTTAGCTAGTGTGGGGCTGAAGCCTCGGGAACGCAGACGTTGGGGCTGGACTGAGCTTGAGAGGCGCAGGGCGCGTCCTTAGCTCGACAAACCAACCTGGCCAAGTGCAGATGCTACAGAGAAAGGGATTGGATCAATCACTTCTAAGACCTGGAGGCTGGCTGGTAATTATAATTTTTTTGGTGGGGGGACAGAGTCTTGCTCTGTCGCCCAGGCTAGAGTACAGTGGCTCAATCTTGGCTCACTGCAATCTCCACCTCCTGGGTTCAAGTGATTATCCTGCCTCAGCCTCCCGATTAGCGGGCATTACAGGCACGCACCACCACGCCCGGCTAAGTTTTTTTGTATTTTTAGTAGAGATGGGGTTTCACCATGTTGGTCAAACTGGTCTTGAACTCCTGATCTCGTGATCCAGCCACCTCGGCCTCCCAAAGTGCTTGGATTACAGGCGTGAGCCATTGCACCCGGCCTGTAATTATAATTTTAAGACATGCCGCTAAACTGTTAGACTAATTCTGTTCTCCCACTTTGACAGTGATATCTTAATAACAGCCTGTGAGCCAGGTTTGAATTTTTAACAAACAATTGGGGGATAATGTGCGTACAATAAACTGCACTATTTAAAGTGCACAATTCAGTATGTTTTGACCTTTGTATACACCAGTGAAACTTTTCCATCACCCCCAAAAGCTTCCTTGTGTCTGCAGTCCAGCTTTCTCTCTCTGCCTTGTCTCGGCAGCTACCGATCTGCTGTCACTATATATTAGTTTTTTAGAAATGGAAAGCTGCAATCAGGTTTGAATGTATCTTCAGACACCTTGGAGTTCTGGCTATACCAAAGCAGTTTGGATAGGGATGGCCTATGGTCAGCCCCTCCAAACTCCTGGCTCTCTCACTGCAAAGGGGCCTTGCAGGCACACGTGGGAACAACCCCAGCTGACATGGCCACACCCTGTCCCATCCCTCCTCAATAGCAGCCAGCCCTCAGCCATCCTTGGTTGCATAGACCTGGGAAAGAGGCCTGTGCAGGCTTGGACAAGGACTTGGGGTCCACTGGGTGGAAAACTATGGGGTTCCCAGGTACCCAGACAGAGTGGAGTCTAGGAGTGTTGGGGGTCTCTAGGTCAGCATGTCCCTTCTTGTACCATGGGGAAGGGTGTGGCTGGAGAAGGACATGAGTGGGGTGCTCTAAAGCCTGGACACCAGCCAGGAACCCTGCTTTCCTGGTCTATTAGGGCAGTACCTGCCTCCTGCTGCTTTCATCCAGGGGCTTACAACTAAGTGAAGGAAATAAGGCCAGGACATGAATAAAGGTTTTGACAACAGTTGCTACTTATTGAGTGCCTGCTCATGCAGAACCTGGACTAAGCTTTTTTGACTTTTTTTCCTCTTTTTGAGATGGAGTCTCGTGTTCCCTCTGTCGGCTAGGCCAGAGTGCAGTGGCATGATCTCTGCTCACTGCAACCTCCACCTCCCAGGCTCTAGTGATTCTCCTGCCTCAGCCTCGCAGGTAGCTGGGATTAAAGGGGCATACCACCATGCGCAACAAATTTTTGTTTTTTTAGTAGAGAGGGGGTTTCACTGTGCTGGCCAGGTTGGTCTTGAACTCCTGACCTCAGGTGATCCACCTGCCTCGGCCTTCCAAAATGCTGGGATTACAGTTGTGAGCCACCGCGCCCAGCCCAAGCTGCTTATCTTTATCATATAATTCATCTTCACAAAATCTCTGCCCAGGAGGCATTGTTCTTCTTATTGTGAAGATCAGCCAACTAAGGTCCGAGAAGTGTTGTGACCTGCCCATGGTCCCATAGCAGTTGGGTGGCAGAGTTGGGGCTAGAACCCACATCTGCTTGACACTGAAGCCTCTGAGTTGAATCTGTAGGGGTCAGAGCTGCAGGTACAGGGACAGGCTGAGTGCTGTGAGCTGGGGGAACTCTGGGAGAGTGTTTGGCTTGACTTCAGTGACTTACCTGGCCCTGCAGGGGCTCACCTGGACCGCCTGGTGCCCCTGGTAGAGGATTTCTGCAACCTGGATGATGATGAGCTCCGGGAGTCCTGCCTCCAGGCCTTTGAGGCCTTCTTGAGGAAGTATGTATGGTGGGGATGCCTGGAGATTCCTTTGGGAAGTTGGTGGGGATGCTGGCCTCAAAGCAGTAAAATTTCAGGGCTCCCATTGGGCTCTGACCCCCCACTCCCATCCTGCCTGGATCCAGCAAAACCTTCCTCATTGTGCCCTACAGGTGCCCCAAGGAAATGGGCCCTCACGTGCCCAACGTAACCAGCCTCTGCCTCCAGTACATAAAACACGACCCCAACTACAACTACGACAGTGATGAGGATGAGGAGCAGATGGAGACGGAGGATAGTGAATTCAGTGAGCAAGGTTGGTGGACAGCCCATCATTGGGGTTGTAAGGTGGAGGTGAGCACAGCCTTCCTGGGATCCCCCAGCTAAAAACAGCCGTGACATCTGGTGTCCCCGTCCTGATGCCAGCCCTTCCTCAAGCTCCAGTCCCACCCGCTGTGACTGCGCAGACCACAGTGATGATAGTAGTCATTGCTGTCATTTATTGAGCATTTACTGGTCGTGTTCCTCACAGTAACCCTAAAAAACCAGGTATTATTACCCCCGTGTTTTAGACAAGGACACAGACTGAGAAGAGAAGTGGCATAGCTGGGCCTTGGAGCCAGGTCTGTCAGACTCTCCCACCTCTGCACTGCCACTGTGTACCCTTTTATGAATAGCTTTCGGGAGGTAGCTTTCTGGGTCTTTAACCCAGCAGAGGAAAGCTCTGATGGTGGAATGGCAGGTACTCGCAGAGGAGCAAGATGTCTCAATGGGGGTGGACTCGACAGCTTCCTTCTTCCTGTGCCTGTGGTCCTGTCTGTCACTCAGACAGATTTCCAGGGCAGAGATGCCCCTAGGCCTGAAGGCAGGGCATAAATGGAGACAATGGATTTAGAGCCTGATGGGATACTTGGATTAAGATGGGATGGTAGATGAGATTGGACAGGCTTGTGGGGGCCTTGAATGCCAAGCCAGGGAGGTGGGACACTTGTCAGTAATAGGGAGCTAAGGATATGTGTTTGTGGGTGGCCTCCTGTGGGGGTGACAGTGGTCCATCAGAGGGGATGGCTGCTGAGCTGCCCAGTGGCCATGGCCCACTGTGGATGTCCAGACACCGAAGTGGTCCACAGAGCAGTATGGGCAGGGCTGTGCTGGGCTCTGAGCTTGTGTCTCGGGGCACTGCCAGGCAGGACTGTGCCCCTCTGAGCCTCCTGTGTGTCTCCACAGGTGATAGGGCTGGGCCTCGTGGGCCTGAATCTCAGCTCTGCTGTTCCTGGTTGTGTGGCCTGAGAGTCATCCCCTCTGAGCCTTAGTCTTGCCGTCTGTAAAACAGGGCTTGGCAGTACCTTCACTTCCGAGGTGATGGTAAAGACTGCACGAGCTCTTGACTTTCGGGGAGATTTTGGGGTAGAAAGTCACACAAACCCAGCATTTCCTCTTTATTAGTCCTGCCTGGAAGCCTTTGGAATCAGGACCTTTGGGAGGCAGGGATCAGGGGAGAGAAGAGGCCAAAGGGAGGCTCTGTCCCTTCTCCCTTCTGCAATCCCAGTAAACTAAATATCACATATTTAGTTTACTGATGCCAAAAGATGAGTTTTGTGCCCCAAATGGATTCTTCAAGTCTACACTGAAGACTTGGAAGTCCGTTTTTTCCCTGGTACGGTCTAGACAATTAAGAGTCTGGAGACAGAGGAGGACCCTAGTCCAAGTATTTCCTTAACTTGGGGCAAGCCACTTCCTGTCTCTAAACCCATTTCCTCATCTCTATAATGGGGAAATAATCCCTGTCTCAAAAGGGGGTCAAGAAGCTAAAATGAAATTATGGGTTTGACGTGCTTAGCCCCATCCCTAGCACACAGTAGATGTCCATTAAAAGGTAGGGAATGTTCCCCATAGGGTATATATAAATGCTGATCATCAAAGGGTAAAGCACAGTGCCCAGCTCCCTGTCCTCCCCATCCCTTCTCCCCGAGCCACAGACCTGTCCTGGGAGATGAGGGCTCTACACGTGTCTTGTTCCTGCTTCAGAAAGTGAGGACGAGTACAGCGATGATGATGATATGAGCTGGAAGGTGCGCCGGGCAGCGGCCAAGTGCATCACGGCCTTGATCGGCTCGAGGCCTGACCTGCTGCCCGATTTCCACTGCACCCTGGCGCCTGTGCTCATCCGCCGCTTCAAAGAACGCGAGGAGAACGTCAAGGCTGACATCTTCACTGCTTATATCGTGCTGCTGCGGCAAACACGGCCCCCAAAGGGATGGCTGGAGGCCATGGAGGAACCCACCCAGACTAGTAGCAACCTCCACATGCTACGTGGACAGGTGGGTGCGCCTTTACCTCCACCCCTACCCCTACCCCCGATTCGTCCACCCAGCCGCTCAGTTAGTGTCTCTGGACTTGGAAACTCACCTGGGGAGAATATCCAGCCGTGGAAGGGAAGGGGTCCCCGGGGTGGGGGGGTGGGAACCAGCCAAGCTTCTGGAGCATAGTGACAGCCAGTCTGCCTGGGTGACCTTGAGCAAGTTGCTTGGTCTCTGTGTACCTGTAAATGGATGTAGGAAATTTGCCTACCCCTCAAGGGTCTGTGTGGTCACAAACGCCTGTCACAGAGTGAGGGACGAGTGCTTGGGAGATGCAGTCTCAATGCCAACATCCTCCCCGGGGATGTGGCAAAGCCTCCTGGTAGTGGGCAAGTGGGGAGGTTTCCTGGGTGGTCCCTGACCTTGACCGCCCCTCCTGCCCACAGGTGCCCCTTGTGGTCAAGGCTCTGCAGCGGCAGCTTAAAGATCGGAGCATCAGAGCACGCCAGGGCTGCTTTAGCCTCCTCACTGAGCTGGCGAGCGTCCTCCCCGGCAGTCTGGCCGAACACATGCCAGTGCTGGTATCAGGTAGGCTGGACCGACTGCAACCAGGTATCTCCTGTTCTGGGCCACTTCCAGAACCCAGACCCCACCCCTGAGTTGAGCCCCCAATTCCTGAGAGAGTCTGGGACCCAGTCCCAGGCTCAGTCCCTGATCAAGAGTCTCCGTTGGCCTCCCACTACCAGCAGTGAGAACAAGCCTGGTTCCAGTGAGTTCCCTGGCCATGTTTTCCTCAGCCCTGGCCACTGGTCAGTGCTGACTTCTTGGAAACTTCTGCAGAAGGTTTAGGTGCTTCAGTTCGGCTCAGGCACCTGTAGGTACCCCAGCCTTGCTTCCAGGGAGGGACGTGTTGCATCAGAGTTGGTGGCCTCGTAACCCTTGCACTCACACTGCAGGCATCGTCTTCTCACTCGCTGACCGCTCCAGCTCCTCCACCATCCGGATGGATGCCCTGGCCTTCCTGCAGGGGCTGCTGGGCACTGAGCCAGCTGAGGCCTTCCACCCACACCTGCCCACCCTCCTGCCACCTGTGATAGCCTGCGTGGCCGACCCTTTCTACAAGATTGCAGCTGAGGCCCTGCTGGTGCTACAGGAGCTGGTGCGGGCCCTGTGGCCGCTGGACAGGCCTCGGACGCTGGATCCTGAGCCATATATTGGAGAGATGTCTGCGGCCACCCTGGCACGACTCCGTGCCACTGACCTGGACCAGGAGGTGAAGGAGCGGGCCATCTTCTGCATGGGCCATCTTGTAGGCCACCTGGGTGACTGGCTTGGGGATGACCTGGAGCCCACATTACTGCTCCTCCTGGACCGCCTGCGGAATGAGATCACCCGGCTGCCCGCCGTCAAGGCGCTGACGCTGGTGGCCGTATCCCCACTGCGGCTTGACCTGAAGCCCATCCTGGCTGAGGCACTGCCCATTCTGGCCTCATTCCTGCGTAAGAACCAGCGGGCTTTGCGGCTGGCCACGCTGGCAGCCCTGGATGCCCTGGCCCAGAACCAGGGCCTCAGCCTCCCACCATCTGCTGTGCAGGCCGTGCTGGCTGAGCTGCCTGCCCTGGTCAATGAGAGTGACATGCATGTGGCCCAGCTGGCTGTGGACTTTCTTGCCACGGTGACCCAGGCCCAGCCGGCCTCTTTGGTGGAGGTCAGCGGCCCTGTGCTCTCAGAGCTGCTGCGGCTGCTGTGTTCGCCCCTATTACCAGCTGGGGTACTGGCAGCCACTGAAGGTTTCCTGCAGGCCCTGGTGGGGACCCGTCCCCCGTGTGTGGACTATGCCAAACTCATCAGCCTGCTCACTGCGCCTGTTTATGACCAGGCTGTGGATGGTGGGCCAGGCCTGCACAAGCAGGTATTCCACTCACTGGCCCGGTGTGTGGCAGCCCTCTCAGCTGCCTGTCCCCAAGAGGCGGCAAGCACAGCCAACCGCCTAGTTTGTGATGCCAGGTCACCCCACTCCAGCACGGGGGTTAAGGTCCTGGCTTTCCTGTCGCTGGCCGAGGTGGGTCAGGTGGCTGGGCCAGGCCCCCAGCGGGAGCTGAAGGCAGTGCTCCTGGAAGCCTTGGGGTCACCCAGTGAGGACGTGAGGGCTGCAGCCTCCTATGCACTGGGCCGCGTGGGTGCTGGCAGCCTGCCTGACTTCCTGCCCTTCCTGCTGGAGCAGATTGAGGCTGAGCCCCGACGACAGTACCTGCTGCTGCACTCACTCAGGGAGGCCCTGGGGTCCGCCCAGCCTGACAGCCTGAAGCCCTACGCCGAGGACATCTGGGCCCTGCTGTTCCAGCGCTGCGAGAGTGCTGAGGAAGGCACCCGGGGGGTGGTGGCCGAGTGCATTGGGAAGCTGGTCCTTGTGAACCCTCCGTTCTTTCTGCCCCGCTTCCGGAAGCAGCTTGCTGCAGGTAGGCACACAGGCGTGGGCAAGGCAGCCCAGCTCGGAGGTGGGCAGTTTGCCACTGAGCATCTAAGCAGCTGGGGAAGAGTGAGCTATTTCAAGTCATTGGGTACAATAGTCACAGTATCTATGTGACAGAGGCAAGGAAGCCACAGAGGAACACACAGTGATACCTGAGACTTAATAGCTTTCTCCTTTGGGAACCTGTGGGATAGAAGGGACAGAGTTCTTGATAAGTTCCTACAACAAATACACTTAAAAATTTCATGATATTGGCTGGGCATGGTGGCTTATGTCTGTAATCCCAGCACTTAGGGAGGCTGAAGTGGGTGGATCACTAGAGCCCAGGAGTTTGAGACCAGCCTTGGCAATACGGTGAGATCCTACCTCTACTAAAAAAAAAAGTCTCATGATCACAACTTCGTAGTCATTGATGTGGACAGTAGCTTAGTGCTCCACACAGAGGTCAACAAAAGCAGTTTTCTGAGTAGCCATAGACTGCAGTGTGCAGAGGGTCAGCTCTTTGGGGCTAGCTTGAGTCAAGAGCAGATGTCAGTGTAGACTGGGACAGGCTGACATGCCCCTGGGGCTTGGAGACGGCTGAGCAAGAACCAGGAGAGGCAGGCGTTTTGGCTTGTCATGTTTTGGCATGTCATGTCATGTTTTGGCACACCAGGTATCTTAGCTCCAGGAGGTGGAAAGCAGGCAGGTGGGGTCATGGGACTCCTGGGAAAGTGAGAGCCCCCAGAATGAAAGGCCAATGGGCTTCGAGCTGGGCAGATGGCCCCTTATAGGACCAGTGAATGTTCTGGTAGACAGAACACAGGTACAGTGCTTGGTACGCTGTGTGGTACCTACGGTAACTAATGTTGAGTAAATAGAGAGCTGCTGTTGTTACTAGTTATATTAGTGATTTCAGTTAAGGCCTTCTGGATGCTGAGTTCATAAGAAGCAGTTGTCTGGTCCATGACGGTGGATGGAAGAACACTGTTGAGGACACTATTGCATCACACAAAGAGCCTTGAGAGACGAGTCTTAAGATATGGAGGAGCCCTGCTTTGCCTAAACACCTGTTTGTTTCTGTCCCACACACTCTGTTGAATCAGCTACCCGGTCACGTTTCCTTTTTACCACCAGTTGCTTGGAATCTTAGAGCCAGATGTGTGGCCTGCTTCTAGCAGGTTCCTGGGACTTCCTCGGTGATGCTCTGTAGGTCCTCTTCCTGGTCTCCTTCTCACCTCCCTGCCTTCAGTTGTCCTTGGCCTTGTTCTTGTTTCCAGTTCACTTAATCTTTTTCTATTGCGTTTTCATCAGCACCCCCCACATCTTCCTGGGAACCAGTCAGGCTGGCAAGTGAAAGAGGAAAAAACTAAAATTCTCAATTCAGCAACCCTCCCATTCATTCATGCCTTAGCACCAGACTGTAAACTTTCCCTCGAGGCTGAACGTAAGGCCTGTGTGGTGGAAACACCTTAGCCCGCTCATGGCAGTGTGCTGGGGGTTGTGTGTGGGGCACGAGGGGTGAGTCACTGAGGAGAGATTCAGAGGCAGGTGGAGTGTCGGCCCATTTATTTCCTTCATTAAGGGAATGTACCCCCCCTCTTTATTCTGCCCCTCTACTCAGAAAGGAACTAATAAGCGAGCTCTCCATGACCGAGCTTGGAGATGATCTTAGTTCTGTTAGGTCCCCCTGGCTGCCAGCTAAAACACAGGCCCAGGAAGAGGGGCCCAGCCAGGAATTCTGGATCTGCTGTGTGGCCTTAGAAATGAACTTACCCTCTCTGAGTCTCTTTCCTCACGTGACAAAGGGATGATTTTTATTGGTGATTTTAACGGCATTTTCTCACTATATTTATTAATTAATAGGATCATTATTAGGACTAATTGAGATAACATGTCTGAAAAATCTCAGGCAGTCCCAAGGCCTGAGGGAAGGTTTCTGTTGGAGCAGTTCCTGTCTTGGTTACTGGTTCCGTTTGTAGCCTGTGGTGTGGTTACCTGAGCACGGGCAGCCTTACTGTTGGAGCTGCCTCAGGAAGAATTGAGGGGAGATTCAAGGCTGCCAAGGGAAATGGTAGAATCTGCTTTCCCAGAGATGGGGAGAGGGTACACTTCTGTCTTCCAGGGAGACAGGGGGAGGAACCTCAGCGCCTTCTGACATGTGAGCATCCAGGATTGGCCCCTGCCCCTCACCGAGTCACCTCTTCTTGTCCTGCAGGTCGGCCCCACACCCGGAGCACTGTCATCACAGCGGTCAAGTTCCTTATCTCGGACCAGCCCCATCCCATTGACTCCCTGCTGAAGAGCTTCATTGGTGAGCACCTCCCTCCTGCCCCTCCGCCTTATTGAGTGCCCACACCCAGTCCTTGAGCCTGGGCTAATGTTTCCTACCCAAAAGCCAAGGGCAGTGGGAGACGTGCCCAAGATGGGCAGTGGGGCCTGGCCTCCAGTTAAAAGGCCTGGGTTCATATCCCTGCCTTTCTACTGCCACTGAATCACAGGTGGGCCTGGCATGCCCCATCGCACCTCTAATCCTCGCTTTCCTCATCTGCCAAATGGGCGTGAGAAACGTTTATTATCCGCATCTTCTAGAGTTGTCCTGGAGGCCCGTGGGCTACTGAGGAAGAAGATGCTTCATAAACACACAGATTCTTGGGAATGGAAAACCACCAGCCTCTCACATGCCTTAGCTTTTGTGGGCCCCAAAGTGGCGCAGGGAAGAGCAGCCCCCCCCCCAGATGGCCTTCTGTCCGAGGGGACTTCTGGCCTGAGGAGCCTTCACTGGCAGGAGAGGAACTGAGACCTCCCTCTGGGGCTCAGCAGGACTACCGGGTTTTTCCTAGGAAGGCAGAGCCCTCACGCCTTCAGAGCTTGAAGTCTGCAGCCTGGGCTGCACTGGGGTCTAGGTCCACATCTAGGCAGGCAGCCCAGTAGAGCTCACCAGCCTCAGGTTCGAATCCTGGCCCTGCCATTCCCTGGCTGTGAGTGTGAACAGGTCTTCTCATCCTCAGCTATAAAATGGGGGTACTGGATCAGGTGGGGTGGCTCACACTGGTAATCCAGCACTTTGGGAGGCCAAGGCAGGTGGATCGCCTTAGGTCAGGAGTTCAGGACCAGCCTGGCCACCATGGTGAAAACCCATCTTTACTAAAAATATAAAAATTAGCTGGGCGTGGTGGCAGGTGCCTGAAATCCCAGCTACTTGAGAGGCTTAGGCACGAGAATCGCTTGAACCCCAGAGGCAGAGGTTGCAGTCAGCTGTGATTGCATGATTGCACTCTACTCTGGGCGACAAGAGTGAAACTCCGTCTCAAAAAAAAAAAATGGGGCTGCTGAAAAATCCCATCTGCCAGGGGCCTGTTATTTGGGACCAAGGGGTCAGACCACATTCTGCACTGGAGAACATGTGCAGAAGCTGTAGCAGCAGCAACTTCATCAGCAGCAACTTCATCCCTTGCCCTAATGCAGTGGGCAGTGCCCACCCCCCTCCCCCGGCCTCATTTCCTCCACCATGATGGAGCTGCCCTTGGCTGACACCACCAGTGACCTTCACCTAGGGGTTCTGGTTTACTTTAGAGCGTTTGAACTGGTTTTTGAGTTCTCGCTGTGTATCAGGCACCACACTTGGCCCTTTAATATACCTCCTCACAGTGGATCCTCACAGCCCCCTGAATGGTGTGTAGCACTGGCCCATTTTACAGATGAGGAAACTAACTCTCAGAGTAGGGATGTGAACTTGGGTCTTGCCAGTTCCCCACAGCTGTGTTCTCACAGAGAACATGGAACCTCGGAGCCAGTGCAGCACCATTGAAAGGGGCCTAGAAGCAGCGCCGGCTCTGAGCTTGCATCCTGCTCTGCTAGGAGCCTTCCTGCCCTTCCCAGTGCGTCGCACCAGGGGCACGTGAAGGCGGCTTGTTCCCTGGCTGGCGATGGTGACTTTCATCACACAGTTCAGGTGGATACTGCCAGGGTTTCTCTCTACTCTAAAGTCACTTCTTTCCTTTGGAACGAATATGAAGTTTTGAGTACATGAAATAAGTGTTTTATATAAACGTGCTTGTTCTCATCAGTTTTTTTGCCCATTAGGTTTAACATCATGGCTGTTTCTTGCCTGAATCAATGATGACTGTGATATTTGCCAAATGGTGACTTTCTAGTTCCATTGTTCTTTCCATAGTTATAAGCTTGCATTCTACTGTGAGGAAGAACTTTTTCTTCTCTCCCATTTATTTATTCATCAATTTATTTGTCATTAGAGACTCATGGCTTCTTCCCCTTCATTCCATGGGTTATAACCTATTACTCTTTTATTTAATTTTGATGCTCAAGATTATCTCAGATTTAGCCATTGGGAGCCCTTGAAGCTGGTTTCTATTTTCTAGTGACATGTTTCCGTCATTTTTTTTGAGAGACAGAGTCTCACTCTGTCACCCAGGCTGAAAGGCAGTGGCACAATCATACCTAACTGCAACCCTTGCCTCCCAGGCTCAAGCAGTCCTCCCACTTGAGCCTCCCAAGTAGCTGGGACTACAGGTGTGCGCCACCTCACCTGGCTGATTTTTAAAATTGTTTACAGAAACAAGGTTTTGCTGTTGCCCGGGCTGGTCTTGAACTCCTGGGCTTAACTGATCCACCCACCTTGGCCTCCCAAAGTGTTGGGATTCCAGGCGTGCGCCCCCGCACCCAGCCTCCATTATTCTCTGTGTATCCTTGCTTTTGGCATAATGAGATGCTCCAGATTCATCCCAAACCTACCCTGCCCAAGTCCTGGAATCAGCCATTTCTCCAAGGAGTCCTGATTCCTTTTAGTGGAGAATGGTATTTAGAATCCAAGATCTGGACACACTAGATGTGCCTGTTGCTATTGGGGCATCATTGCTTCTAGGCCCTCTCAGCAGACAGAACTAGGAAATATATGTCTATACGCAGAGACACAAATGCCATGTGTACACATGTGCTTCCAGATGCACATTCATGTACATCGTTTTCCCTCTCTCCTTCCCTCCCTGCCTCTTCCTTTCCCTCTTCTCCCTACCTACCCACCTATCTTGAAAACCTTGAGTTCATAGCTGCTTCCTGTTGCACTCGAGCCCCCTTTCCATACCTGTAACTCCTTTCTCTCACAGCGAGAAACTCAGCTCCCGTTATCTACAAGACATTTATTTTCTTAATCCTGAAATACACAGAAAGTGGTCTGAGAATTGCGGACTCTTTTCTCTGTGAAAATTAACGTTCATGTCTAGTTTTTTGTCATTCGCTAGAGGGCATCCAGTCAAAATACCCTGGAAGTGGCTTGGGTTGTTTTCTCCTTCATAACCTGGGTGGTTATGTGGATCATTTTAAATACAGTTTTTGTTTTGTTTTTGAGGACAGGCATGGTGGTTCATGTCTGCAATCACAGCACTTTGGGAGGCTGAGGTGGGAGGATCACTTGAGGTCAGGAGTTCGAGACTAGCCTGGCAAAACCCCATCTCTACCAAAAAATACAAAAATTAGCTGGGCGTGGTGGCACACACATGTAATCCCAGCTACCTGGGAGGCTGCATCGCTTAAACCCGGGAGGCGGAGGTTGCAGTGAGCCAAGATTGTGCCACTGCACTCCAGCCTAGGCAACAAATCGAGACTTTGTCTCAGAACAAAAAATAACAAATAAGTACAGTTTTTTGCCTTTTGGTTTTATTTTCAGGGATTCCCTATCCTTGATTATATTTCTTTATTAAGTATGTAAAACATTAACAATTCTAAAATGTTTAAACTATGATGGCCAGGCATAGTGGCTCATGCCTATAATCCCAGCATTTTGTGAGGCTGAGGCAGGAGGATCACTTGAGTCCAGGAATTTGAGACCAGCCTGGGCAACATAGTGAGACTCCATCTGTTAAAAAAAAAAAAAATTATTTTAAGTTTAAACTCTATATCATAGTCCCTTTTCTGCTACTATAACAGAATACTACAGATTGGGTAATTAATAAAGAGGAGAAATTCATTCCTCACAGTTTTGGAGTCTGGGAGATCCGAGAACATGGCACCAGCATCTGGTGAGGGCCACCCCATTGTGGAAGGGCAGAGTGAACATGGGAGACAGAGAGACGAGATGGGGGCTGAGCTTCTCCTTAACAGGAGCTTCCTCCCATGATCCCTGACCCACTCCTGTAGTGCAGGCATTAATCCATGCCTTGGGGCTTCACCCTCATGACCTAGTCACCTCTCAATACTAATTACCATGGCAACTGAGTTTCAGCATGAGTTTTGGTGGGGACATTCAAATCATAGCACTGTACAAGTCTGGGCACAGTGGCTCATGCCTGTAATCCCAGCATTTTGGGTGGCCAAGGTGGATAGATCACTTAAAGTCAGGAGTTTGAGACCAGCCTGGCCAACGTGGTGAAACCCTGTCTTTATTAAAAATACAAAAATTACCCGGGCATGGTGGCGCACACCTGTAATCCCAGGTACTTGGGAGGCTGAGGCAGGAGAATCGCTTGAACCTGAGAGGTGGAGGTTGCAGTGAGCCGAGGTTGTGCCACTGCACTACAGCCTGGGCAACAGAGTGAGACTCCGTCTCAAAAACGAATCATAGCACTGTACAAAAAGGAGCATCCTGAGAAGTGCTGGCGACGCCGTGTAAATTTCTCGACCTCTCTGATATTCAGGACCCTCACCGGTAATACCAAGTTAACATTCACAGAGTCCATGCTCTGTGTGCCAGGCACTCTGCTGTGTACTTTTAGTACGTTACCATGTTAAATTTTTTTTTCCAAGATAATGCTGAGGCACCACATTTTTAATTCTAAAAGCAGTCCTATAGCATAGGTTCTCTTATGACTACCATTTTACAGATGAGGACATTGGGGTGTTCAAGGTTCCACAGTTAGTTGGTAGAGCTGGCATGGAAGCCAGGTCAGCCTCAAACCCACATTTTCATCTGGCCTTTGAAGGGTTGTTTGTGCCTGGTATAAAGTAGATGCTCACCACACCCAGCTTACCCCCATTCAGCCAGTTCTGCACATGCATAGTAACCAGGTGGCTGGGGTGGTGGGGGAGGTGACTTTGTGCTTTGGCTGTATGTCCCCACACCCCTCATGTCCTCCTGCCAGGAGAGTTCATGGAGAGCCTGCAGGACCCAGACCTGAACGTGCGCCGTGCAACTCTGGCTTTCTTCAACTCGGCCGTGCACAACAAGCCCTCGCTAGTCCGGGACCTGCTGGATGACATCCTGCCCCTCCTCTACCAGGAGACAAAGATCCGCCGGGACCTCATCCGAGAGGTGCGGAGCAGAACCGGGGACCCTGGGGAAGCTGGGGGTGACGCCGCTTCTCATGCCTCACTGATAGGGCAGTATTATTTCATCAATCAGGGCAGGTGCTGGGGCCACATGGCCTGGGTCAAGTCTTGTCCCCAGTCCCAGCTGTGTGACCCCAGCCAGGGCAACCTGATCCTCTCGGAGCCTCAGTTTCTCCTCGTGAGCACGTGAGGGTGCTAATTGTGTCTGCTTCGTAGAGTTGCTGCAACGATTCAGTGAGTGAGGTCCTGTAAGTGTTTAGAACCACCACAGGCACACAGCCGGTGCTCAGTAAATGTTGACATTCGGCAGGTGCTCATTGAGCATCTGCGCTAAGCCCAAGTGCCAGGACTCAGAGTTGGACCGGATTTGGTTTCCACCACCAAGGAGGTCATCATGGCCCCTAAAGGAGAGAGATGCCCACTCTGCTGATTACAGACAGCCCCTGCCTTATAATGGTTCAACTTTACGATGGTGCAAAAGCAGTAGCGTTCAGCAGGCTCTTCACCTTACGATGGGGTTGCCTCTGGAAACTGACTTACCATATCTTCAACTTACAATGTGACATTCCCATCATACACCAAGGAGCAGCTGCATTTAACTTGGAGCCTACCTGGTAAAGTAAGCATTCAAGGGGCAGAGGTTAAAGGTGATTTAATAAGCTGAGTCATCATACAGTATACTAGAAAGGTCTGAACCATCTGGCAGCACTGAGTTGGCAACACTGAAGCAACTCTGTTTACAGGGACTGCAAAGGTTTCCCTACAGAGGACCCCCACCATTTTTCTTTCTTTTTTTTTTTTTGACAAGACTCTCGCTGTATCCCCAGGCTGGAGTGTAGTGGCACACAGTCTCGGCTCACTGCAGCCTCTGCCTCCCGGGTTCAAGCAATTCTCATGCCTCAGCCTCCCAAGTAGCTGGGATTACAGGCATCTCCCACCACGCCTGGCTCATTTTTGTATTATTAGTAGACATGAAGTTTCACCATGTTGGCCAGGCTGGTCTTGAACTCCTGACCTCAGGTGATCCACCTGCCTCAGTTTCCTAGAGTGCTGGGACTACAGGCGTAAGCCACTGCGCGCCCAGCCCAGAAGGGCCCTTTAAGCTGGGCTTTGAAGGGTAAAAAGGCATTTGCCATTAAAACAGGGCTTCATGGCTGAAAGCTTCAGAAAGACCTAGGCGGTGTTTTGTTTTTTGAGACAGGTCTTGCTATGTCACCCAGGCTGGAGTGCAGTGGCACAATCACAGCTCACTGTAGCCTCGACCTCCTGGGCTCAGCAAACCTCCCACCTCAGCCTCTTTAGTAGCTGGGACTACAGGCTACATGCCCAGCTAATTTTTTGTATTTTTTTTTTTGTAGAGGTGGGGTTTCACCATGTTGCCCAGGCTGGTCTCAAATTCCTGGGCACAAGCGATCCTCCTGCCTCGGCCTCCCAAATTACTGGGAGTACAGTTTCCATGTCCAACCTACCTGGGTTTTAAATTCCAGTTCAGCCACTTACAAGCAGTGTATCCTTAGTTAACCTGTCCAACTCAGTTATTAACCTGCTCAACTCAGTTATTAACCTGCCCAACTCAGTTTCCTCATCTGTTAAACGAGATCAATAACATTTACTTTTTTTTTTTTTTTTTTTTTTTGTGAGAGTCTTGCTCTGTCACCCAGGCTGGAGTGCAGTGGCGAGATGTCAGCTCACTGTAAGCTCTGCCTCCCGGCTTCAAGTGATTCTTCTACGTCAGCCTCCCGAGTAGCTGGGACTACAGGCATACGCCACCATGCCTGGCTAATTTTTTGTATTTTTAGTGACAGGGTTTCACTGTGTTAGCCAGGATGATCTTGATCTTCTGACCTTGTGATCCACCTGCCCTGGCCTCCCAAAGTGCTGAGATTTTAGGCATGAGCCACCATGCCTGGCCAGTAACATTTACTTCTGATGGCATTTGTGATGCTTGAATGAAGTGTCATCTGTCAAGCACTTGGCACAGTGCCTGCTCAGTAAATTATAACAATAATGACTCTTAGTGCCACTGTGATCACCTGGGGGAAAGGATACTGCAGGCTATGTAAAGGCATGGAGACTTGAGAGTCTGAGGCATGATTTGGGCCAGCAAGCAGTGTGGAATAGAGATGTGGGGTTTGCAGCAGAAACTGCAAGAGGTGTTGCACCGTGGGGCCATATCTACAACCTTCAGTTGTCCTTCCCTCCTGCAGGTGGAGATGGGGCCCTTTAAACATACAGTGGACGATGGGCTGGATGTGCGGAAGGCGGCCTTTGAGTGCATGTACTCACTGCTTGAGAGCTGCCTGGGCCAGCTGGATATCTGTGAGTTCCTGAACCATGTGGAAGACGGGCTGAAGGATCACTATGACATTCGGGTAGGACCAAGCCCCCTGCCAGATCTATGTGCCCCTGTACCAAGGGATAGTCAGGCACCACTGGGCCCATGCTTGTTTGTCCTTGCTCCCTACTCCAGGCACCCAATGAAAAAGGCTGCATTGTTGTTTTCTGATAAGAAAAGGAACCAGTGCCTCAAACACCTTTGGTGGGAGTCTACACTGGGCAAGCTCTTTGGAGGATGGTTTGGCAGCAACTGGAAAAAAAAAATGTCCAGGTGTAGTGGCTCATACCTATAATCCCAGCACTTTGGGATGCCAAGGCAGGAGGATGGCTTGAGCCCAGGAGGTTGAGGCTGCAGTGAGCTGAGATTGCACCACTATACTCCAACCTGGGCAACAGAGTGAGACTGTCAAAAAAAAAAAAAAAAAAAAAAAAAAAAAGGCAGGGGGGAATTCCCGGACAAAACTTTTGACCCAGCAACTCCATCTCATCCCATTTGACCCGTACACAGAGCCTCTGAGCTGACTCCTACACAGGTTCTGAGTTTTATGTACAAAATTGTTCTTCACAGCCTCTGGGAGTTGGGAAAGCTGGCAGCTGCCTAATTGTCCATCTGTAGATAACTGGCTCCATCAGCTGGGCACCTCCAGCTGTGGAATGCTAGCGACATTGAGGAGCAAGCTGCATCTCTTCATGTTGTGATCTGAAAGAGCTCCAAGCCCCACTATTGAGTGGCAAGAGCTAGTTCCAGAAGTTAGGGCCATTTTCTTACCTGAGGGAGTGAGTCTGGGGTCAGCAGGGCAGTTGGGATACTTTGGTTTCTTCATTTTACATCTTTCTATATCTTTTTTGAAATTTTAAAGTTTATTCACATATACAATAGAAATCATTACTTTTTAATTGTGGCAAAATAATAACACAAGTTACCATCTTCACTATTTTTTCTTTTTCTTTTTTTTTTTTTTGAAACAGGGTCTTGCTCTATCATGCAGGCTGGAGTACAGTGGCATAATCTTGGCTCACTGCAACCTCTGCCTCCCAGGTTCAAGTGATCCTCGTGCCTTAGCCTCCCTAGTAGATGGGACTAAAGGCACTCACCACCATGCCTGGCTAATTATTTTTGTATTTTTAGTAGAGATGGGGTTTCACCATGTTGGCCAGGCGCGTCTCGAACTCCTGACCTCAAGTAATTTGCCTGCCTCGGCCTCCCACAGTGCTGGGATTACAGGCATGAGCCACTGCAACAGACCCCGTCTTCACTTTTTTTTTTTTTTTTTGGGAGACAGAGTCTTGCTTTGGCACCCAGCCTGGAGTGCAGTGGTGTGATCTTGGCTCACTGCAACCTCCGCCTCCTGGGGTCAAGCGATTCTCCTGCTTCTGCCTCAGCCTTCTGAGTAGCTAGGACTACAGGCACATGCCACGATGCCTGGCTAATTTTTTTGTGTTTTTAGTAGAGACGGCATTTCACTGTGTTAGCCAGGATGGTCTCGATCTCCTGACTTTGTGATCCATCCACCTCAGCCTTCCAAAGTGCTGGGATTATAGGTGTTAGCCGCCGCACCCGTCCTCCATCCTCACTATGTTTAAGTGCACAGCGCAGTGGCATTAAGCACATTCACACTGCTGTGCAGCTGTCACCACTGTCCATCTTAGAACTTTCTCCTTCCCAGATTCAAACTGCACCCATTAAACACTATTCTCCATGAATTTGACTACTCTAGGATTCTGCCCTTGTAAGTAGAACCATATGGTATTTGTGCCTTTGTGACACACTTGTTTCACTTAGTGTGATGTCCTCAGGGTTCATCCATGTTGCAGCATGTGTCAGAATTTCCTTCTGTTGTATGTACAGACCACAGTTTGTTTACCCATTCATCCATCGCTGGACATTTGGGTGTTCCCAGTCTGGCTATTACGAGTAACGCCGCTGTGAACATAGGTGTTCCAGTATCCTTTGGAATCTTGCCTTCAGTTCTTTTCACTTTACCCAGAAGTGAAATTTTGGATCATCTGGTAATTCTGTGTTTAATGTCTTAAGGAACTGTCAGGCTACAACTTTATTTTAGAATTTTTTTAATTTTGAGATGGAGTCTCACTTTATTGTCTAGGCTGGCTGGAGTACATTGGTGCAATCTCAGTTCACTGCAACCTCCGCCTCCTGGGTTCAAGTGATTCTCCTGCCTCAGCATGTTGAGTAGCTGGGATTACAGATGTGCACCACCATGCCTGGCTAATTTTTGTATTTTTGTAGAGATGGGGTTTCACCATGTTGGCCAGGCTGGTCTTGAACTCCTGACCTCAGGTGATCCACCCACCTCGGCCTCCCAAAGTGTTGAGATTAACAGGCGTGAGCCACTGCGCCTGACCCCATACCACAACTTAAAAAATATATATACTGTAAGCCTGAGTCACTTTTTATAACAAAAACTAATACAAAGTAATCAAAAGCAATTCATACTTGTTTCCAAAAGTGCCAGGCACAGTGGCTCATGCCTGTCATCCCAGCACTTTGGGAGGCTGAGGCAGGTGGATCACAAGGTCAGGAGTTCAAGACCAGCTTGGCCAAGATGGTGAAACCCCATCTGCACTAAAAATACAAAAATTATCTGGGTGTGGTGGCGGGTGCCTGTAATCCCAGATACTGAGGAGACTGAGGCAGGGAATTCCTTGAACCTGGGAGGCAGAGGTTGCAGTGAGCCAAGATTGTGCTACTGCACTTCAGCCTGGGCAACAGAGCAAGACTCCGTCTTAAAAAAACAAACAAAACCACCCAAAAGCTTCCCCTACCCAGAGAGGCCTGTTGTAAGACTCAGTGTGTTTCCTGGGATGATGCACATAGACCCTCGTTCATTAGTCAACTGATGCTGAGTGGTGCCAACACACCGTGGTCGGTGCGAGAGGTGGGGTTCCTGCTCTCAAAGCTGCGGAGACGAGTGTACAAGGTCTGTTTTCTAGAAATGGGATCACATCACACATGCTGTTTTTTCCCCAGTCTTTTAACTTACATTTACTGTATGTAGTTGTTTGCTTTGCTTTTCAATACATATCAGACCTCACCATCATTTCACAGCTGCAGGAGTTCCCATTTCTGTTGCACTCACATGTAGCTTATTTGCACATTTTCACTATTACAGACAATACTGCTGTGAACACCTTGGGGCATCACTGTGACCCATGCTAGGGTGGAGTGCATGTTCCTGTTAAGGTATCTGATGCCCGTGGTCAGGCTGCGCCTCCTGCAGCGGGCGTGCCTCCGACCACTGCAAACTTCTTCCTGCACTTCCAGTCTGCCTGTCTCTTCCTTGGCTTTATTACTGCTTTAAACCCTTGCTTCCTGCCACCTCCCAAGAAAGAGAAAAGAAATGACATAAGTTCTACATAACTTCTCTGGGGTTCCAGCCCCAAGGTCTTTGTTGAGAAAGGGGGTTGGGTTTTCCAGTGTAGGCCGTGAGAACTAGTAGGAAATGATGGGGCACACAGAGCTGAACAGGACTTTCCACCACAGGGCTCCCAGGAGGCTCCAGGTGGGAGGGGTGTACTCAGCTTCTCTCATTTAGGTATGCCTGGTATTAGGCATCTTGGGGCGCTAGTGACCCCAGAACACAGATTAAGGAGTTCTTGGCTGGTCCAACACTCCAGCTTGTGGGGATTTTTCCCAGGCTCCAGCAAGTCTCTTCCGTCCACTCTGGCCATATCCTCGTGCCTGCCCTCCAGGAGAGCAGGACAGGGTCTAGGCACCAGTGCAGCCTTGGAGCCCACTCTGCTGCCACCCCCTGGGGTGAAGAGGGTGGGTGTGACAGCTCTAGAGCCCATAGCTTTGTGTTATCTTCAAGTGAGCCTTTGGAGAGGGAGTGAACGCCGCCCCGTTCACAGGAAGACAGGGAGTCTTGTCTGGTTCGAGGACACAGGGTGGTGGAGGAGTCAAGACTCATAGCTCATGGAGTCCAGCACCGCTGCTTCTCGCTGCTGTGGGCTGGGCCTCCTCCTCCACTGTGGGGTGTAGGAGGGTCAGGGTGTGGGGATGGGTAGGGTGGGGATTTCAGATAGCCATTCTTTATACTGTGCAAGGCTTCTTTGTGAAGACTTGACCATTTTCAAAAGAGATGACAATTTTTTTCCTACAGGCCGAGTCCAGGCCTGCAGCCGTGTTTAGTTAGTGTCAAAGTTTTTGTTTGGTTTTGAAATTAGGTGCCAACATTCAAAAATTGAGATTTTTTTTTTTTTTACTTGAAAATTGGGATTTCTTTTGAAAACAATCCAGTGGCCCCAAGCCACATGTCTGCTTTCCCACCTGGCCATAGTCGGCTAGAGCCGAGCAGCCACTGTGGCTGCAGCAAGGGCTCCCTGCTCTGTCCCAGGCCCCAGCGGCCCCCTTCACTCATCCCCAGCATCTGCCTGACCCGTAGGCATCTGAGCTTGAGAACCATTCCCTCCCTGGTGCTTCTTATCTGATCCTCCTCAGGTCAACCTGAGGAGTAATTGGCAAAGAAAGTGTCACCATTCGAGGAAACAGACCCAGAGAGGGAGAGACTCTGGCAGGACTTCATGGTGGTCTGGACTTGGGCTTCAGGTTTCGGGTGTGGGCCTCTGCTCTTTCCCAGGGCTGGCTGCCGCACCATCTCACCAAGAATTCTGTTTCCTTCCTTCTGGGCAGATGCTGACCTTCATTATGCTTGCCCGGCTGGCCACCCTGTGTCCTGCACCTGTCCTACAGAGGGTGGACCGACTAATTGAGCCACTTAGGGCCACCTGCACTGCCAAGGTAAGTCTCTGACCTAGCCCTAGCCCAGGCCCTGGAGCACCTATTGAGTCTTCAGCCAGTTGTTCATTTACCACTTACTAAGCACGTGTGTAGTGCAGGTGATGCTGTGAAAGTGCTTCAATCATTATCATTGCCCTACAAAGTACTTCTTATCATCACTGTATACACAGGGGAACAGAAGCTTTGAGAGATTGTTATTGGCCAAGGCTACACTGCTAGTAAATTGCAGGGATGGATTCAGATCCACCTGTCCCTTCTTCCATTCATTAAATACTTCCTGGGTGCTGAGCCTCACGGGAGATACTAAAGATGTAACATTGAGTCTGATAGATTCCCTATTGTCAATCTCTCACCTCTTTGTTGGGAAGCTGGGTTAGATGATTGATCTAGAGCAAAGTTTCCGCTAGACTAGAGTGCCTGAAGGGTCTGGAGGCGGGATCTGGGGTGGAAGCTCCCATGGAAAGCTGGTGTTGGAAGCAGAGCCTCGTGCACCTAGGTGGTACCTAGTAAGTACCTGTTGAATGAAAGAGTACATCTGGGTTTTCTGAGGATGGGAATCATTATCAAAAGGAGAGCAGTGTTTTAGATTGGCGCTTAAAAAGGAGACATACCCATAGAGTGGTGATTTTCAAAAATGAAATCTTCTGTGGATAAAACATTAAAATTAGTAGTTTATTCATAGAAACCTGCCTTGTAAGTTTACATTTTTAACATATGCTCACTATTGAGTCAATCCAAAAAAAGCTTCTGCAAGACCAGGGCAGTTTTGACAATCTCTGGCCAAATCATATCTAGTTTTCTCTGAGCTCTGTTGCACCAAGAAAAGTCCCAGTTCTTAAAAGGGGAGGTATACATGGTACTGCTGTGCCAGAACATTCTTGCAGTAGGCCAAGGTGGCAAGAGAAGCTCTGCTGTGAGTTCCCACAAGAGCCACTCATCTGGCCATGCAGAAGATGCTGTCTGTTGGGCACTGGGATGAGCGTGGACACATCCACACCCACAATCCTTACCCATGACTCTAAAATCTGCCAAGCTCTGACAACCAAAAGCTCTTTAGGAACCTGTCAACAGGACTTGAAGTGGTATGAGGCTATGATCTTTAATTTTCTTTTGTTAAACAGTCAGCTCTCTGTATCCGCAGGTTCCACACAGATTAGAGTCAGAAAACAGGCCGGGCGCAGTGGCTCATGCCTGTAATTCCAGTACTTTGGAAGGCTGAGGCGGATGGATCAAAAGGTCCAGGAGATCGAGACTGTCCTGGCCAATGTGGTGAAACCTGGTCTCTACTTAAAATACAAAAAACTAGCTGGGTGTGGTGGCGCACGCATGTAGTCCCAGCTACTTGGGAGGCTGAGGCAGGGGAATCGCTTGAACCCAGGAGACAGAGGTTGCAGTGAGCTGAGATCATACCACTGCACTCTAGTCTGGTGACAGAGCAAGACTCCCATCTAAAAATTAAAAAAAAAAAAAAAAAAAAAATCAGAAAACAAAAATACAAATATAGGCCAGGCGCGGAGGCTCACGCCTGTAATCGTAACACTTTGGGAGGCCGAGACAGGTGGATCACCTGAAGTCAAGAGTTCAGGACCAGCCTGGCCAACGTGTCTCTACTAGAAATACCAAAATTAGCTGGGTGTGGTGGCATATGCCTGTAATCCCAGCTACTTGGGAGGCTGAGGCAAAAGAATTGCTTGAACCTGGAGGGGTGGAGGTTGCAGTGAGCCGAGATTGCACCACTACACTCCAGCCTGGGCAAAAGAGCAAAACTCTGTCTCAAAAGTAATAATAAAAATTTAAAAAATGTAGGAGCCGTGCTCGGTGGCTCACACTTGTAATTCCAGCACTTTGGGAGGCCAAGGTGGGAAGATATTCTGAGGTCAGGAGTTCAAGACGAACCTGGCCAACATGGTGAAACCCTGTCTCTTAATTAAAAATACAAAAATTAGCTGGGTGTGGTGGTGCATACCTGCGATCCACTTACAGAGGCTGAGGCAGGAGAACTGCTTGAAGCTGGGAGGCGGAGGTTGCAGTAAGCCAAGATTACGCCACTGCACTCCAGCCCGAGCGAGAGTGAGACTCCATCTCAAAAAAGAAAAAAAAAAAAAAAAAAGGGCTGGGCACGGTGGCTTACAACTGTAATCCCAGCACTTTGGGAGGCTGAGGCAGGTAGATCACTTGAGGTTGAGACCAGCCTGGCCAACATAGTGAAACCCCATCTCAAAAAAAAAAAAAAAAAAAAGTATAACAGCTGCTTACACAGCATTTATATTGCATTAGGTATCAAAAGGAATCTAGAGATGATTTAGAGTATACAGGAAGATGCATCTAGGTTCTATGCCAATGTACCACTTTTATATGAGACTTGAGCATCTGAGGATTTTGGCATCCCCTGGGATCTTGGAACCAATCTTCCATGGATACTGAGGGATACCTGTACCTCACAATACTCATACATTTTTCATACATGTAGTGGAGTATTTATGTATTTGATTACAGGGAATTGTACCAGATCCCGCTGAGAATGTTATCTGCATAGTATTACCTTTCTAAAACCCCAGATGTCCTGGATTCCAAAGCACATCTGGCTCTAGGGGTCTCAAAGAAGGGAGTGTAGACTTGTGTCATTTAATTATCTGGGCAACTTTTTTTTTTTTTTTGAGACAGAGTCTTGCTGTCGCCGGGCCGTAGTGCAGTGGCGCGATCTCAGCTCACTGCAATCTCTGCCTCCCAGGTTCAAGTGATTCTCCTACATCAAGGAGATTCAAGCCTCCTGAGAGTAGCTGAGACTACAGGTGCATGCCACCACACCCAGCTAATGTTACTAGAGATGGGGTTTCACCATGTTGGCCAGGATGGTCTTGATCTCTTGACTTCGTGATATGCCCATCTTGGCCTCCCAAAGTGCTGAGATTACAGGCAGCTTTTATTTCTAGATGGGGAAATGAGGCTCAAAGATGTAGCTACCTGGACTGACAGCTCTTGGGGGCAGAGCCATTTGAAAGCAGGACTGTGCAACTGCAATGTCAAGGTGTTACTCACTACGTTGGATTCTTTCGGTAGAGCCCAGCATAAGAAGGAATTTGAACTTTAGTCCATAGCAGTGGAGGAATTACTGAGCTCCTTTGCCTAAATGGGAGATGGTGGGGAAGTCAACAGAAACTGCAGGAGGTAGTCTGAGGTGCTTACTCTCCAGCTGCATCTATAGAACGATTTCCAGGCAGGGGCTTGAGTGGGGGAAGAGGCTGCTACAAGACCACCGCAGTGATTCATTCATTCAGTCTAATAAGGTGCTAAGAGCTGGCTTTAAGCACTTTAAGTATAGGCTGGATCCCTGCAATCTGTGGGAGGAGGTTAAGTATGGGAACATAGTACTTGCCACTGTCAATTAACAAAAAGTGGGCATGTTGGATTGGCTGCTCAGAGACCCCTCAGGCTGTACTCAAGCTGATTTGAATGACAGACAACCTCTGTGGGAAACGAGTCAGTGTGTAAAAGCCCAGAGGTGGAGTTAGGAAATAGCCTTAGGAGACCTTGCAGCAGGAATTTACCTTAGGGATTATGGGGCAGAGAGGAGGAGGAGGCAGTGGTGCCAGCCAGGCGCAATAAAGGATGGCTGCTTCTGCTGTTTCCTACTTTAGGTCAAAGCTGGTTCTGTGAAACAGGAGTTTGAAAAGCAAGATGAACTGAAGCGCTCTGCAATGAGGGCAGTGGCCGCCCTGCTGACCATCCCTGAGGTGGGGAAAAGCCCCATCATGGCTGACTTCTCTTCCCAAATCAGATCCAACCCTGAACTTGATGCCCTCTTTGAAAGCATCCAGAAGGATTCCGCTTCAGCCCCCAGCACAGACTCAATGGAGCTCAGCTAGTCTCCCCAGCACCCAGGTGGGCCCTCCCTCAAGAGAAAGGAGCCCACCCAACCATCAGGCCTCCCCAATCCACTACCACAGGCCTCTACTTTTGCCCTTCCACCACCTCACTGGAGGCCCTGCCGCTGTCAGGGCTTACAGTGCCTTCTCCAGGGACCCAGCTCCAAGGCCCTGAGCCCGAGCTGCAAGGCTGCCAACAATTGGGCCCCATCCTTAACTCAGGACAGTCATCCAAAGAAATAGGGTAAGTTTTCCAGTGACTTCACACTCTACCCCTCCATAGTCTGTCTGGTTCCTTCAGAGGGTGTGTCTACCTCACAAACTAGTAGTATTTAGAAACAGGCTGTGCTTGTCAGCTGTGAATGGTAAGGAGGCAACAGACACCACTCCAGTTTCTTCACTGCACTCAGCAATGCCTCTAAGTTAGTGCTCAGGCTGGGCGTCTTGGAAAACTTGAGTTACATTTTAAAATTCAAAATGGTTCATTTCTAAGTGGCAGTGATGAATCTGAAATTTGGATGGTACGGGTTTCTTTTTCCCAGGAAGGATGAATGGGTTGGGTGGGGAACTGGACAGGTCTGGACCTCATGTTTCATTTCTAATTTCACATGCCAGCACCACCCAGGCAAACCAGTTGGTTTGTTTCTGAGGAAGGTTTCAAATGTGTCTAGTGTTAGTATTGAGGACAAAGAAATACAAGTGGCAGGCCAAAGTATTTTCCGTGATATCCCAGGTTAATAAAGATTAGATCCTAAGTTAACTTCTTTTCTCTACGCAACTTGTCTCCAATTGTTAGACCAGTATCTTGAATGTACTTGTCAATTTGTAATAAATCCCCAAAATTAGGCTGGGTGAAATGGCTCATGCCTGTAATCCCAGCACTTTGGGAGGCTGAGGCAGGCAAGATCGCCTGAAGTCAGGAGTTTGAGACCAGCCTGGCCAACATGGCAAACCCCTGACCCTACTAAAAACATAAAAATTAGCTGGGTATGGTGGCACACCTGTAGTCCTAGCTATTAA